ATTATTTTTGTTATTCCTTTCTCCTTTGTATTTAATATTCTATTTTTCTGATTTCTTGAGATTGGTAATTGATATAGATAGATATAGATTTCCTTCTAACTATGCTGTAGCTGCATTTTATGTTTCATGTTTCTATTATCATTTAGTTTAAAATATTTTCAATTTGTGTTGTGATTTCTTCTTTGTTTTGTCAGTTATTTTAAAATGTATGGACTAGGTTTAAAATATCTGTGGATTTTCTAACTATCTTTTTGGTATTTTGATATTTATTTCTGGTGAATTCCACTGAGTTCAGAGTACACATTCTGAATGATCTGTGTCCTGTGACATGTGTTTTTTCTACTTTGGTGGTGGTGGTTTATCACTTAAGTTGTGTCTGACTCCTGCAAGCCCATGGACTGTAGCCCACTAGGTTCCTCTGTCCGTGGGATTTCCCAGGCAAGAATACTAGAGTGGGTTGCCATTTCCTTCTCCATTTTGGTTAATGTTATGTATGGACTTAAATATATATATTCTGTCATTGTTGGGTATAGTGTTCCAAATATTCAGTATATCATTTAGGTCAAGTTTATCTTATAGCTCATATCACCCTATTCTTAATGGTTTGATTTCTGAGTTATTGAGAATGGTGTGCAAACATATCTATCATTGTTAAGATTTCTTTTTTCCTCTTATAGTCCCAGTTTTTACTTTATACATTTTGAAGTTATGTTACGTGAAAATGTAGCTTTGTTATATATTCCTAGATAATTGAACAAACCTTTAGTCAATATGAACAATTTAAAAGTCTTTTCTCTAATTAAATGAGATTTGTCTGATAGTAGTATAGGTACACCAGCTTTTTTGTGGTTAGTGCTTGCTTGATACATGCTTTTCTATTCTTTCTTTTTATTTCTGTGTCTATATTTCTGGCATTTCTCTCATGAGTGGCATATAGTTGGATTTTATTTTTTTAAATACAGTCTCACAACCTTAGTTTTTAATAGGATAATTTAGACCAGTTACTAATATATATAGTATTGGCTGTCTGCTATTTTATTATTTATTTTCAACTTTACTCACTTGCTTTAAGTCTCTTTTTTGTCTTCTATCTTGCCTTCTCTTGAATCAACTATTTTTATTGCTCTATATTCCCCCATAAGAGTTTGTATCTTCTTTAACTGTCTCTTATTGCTAAGACAGTGAATAAAACCAGCTTATTACTATCCAAAATAAGTAATTCCCAGGCAATGCTAATAACTTGAAACAATTCTATTTTCTTTCATCTTTTGTGTTAACTTTTCTTACATATTTTAATTATGTATATACGTTCAACCTCTCAAGACATTACTAGTATTATTTTGTGCAATAATATTTTAAAAATGATTTTATTTATTTATTTTTATTTTGACTGTGCTGGGTCTTCCTTGGTGTGTAGGCTTTTCTCTAGTTGCAGGGAATGGGGGCTATTCTTTAGTTGTGGTGCATAGGCTCTTCTGGACTTCCTGGTGGCTCAGGCAGTAGAGAATCCACCTGCAATAAGGGAGACCTGGGTTCGATCCCTGGGGTGGGAAGATCCCCTGGAGGAGGGCATGGCAACTCACTCTAGTATTCTTGCCTGGAGAATCCTCATGGACAGAGGAGCCTGGCGGGCTGCAGTCCATGGGGTCACAGAGTCAGACATGACTAAGCATAGCACACATCCCTCTCTTCTGCTATGTCCGATAATATACTGTTAAATCTATCTGTTGAGTTCTTTATTTCATTTATTATATTCTTTAGTTATAGAATTTTTCACTTGATTCTTTGGTTCCAGTTCTCTGTTAAAATTCTCATTCTTATCTGTTTTATTGAACATAGTATTCACACTTATTTTTAAACCCCATGTCTGATAACTTTGAGTTCTGAGGATCTTTGTCTATTATTTGCTTTTTATCTTGATTCAATAATTTCTTAGTACTCCTGGTACTTTAAGACTGAATCCTAGAAATTATGTATGAGGGAGTGAATAGGATCTGAATGATGTTATTTTCCCTCCTGAGAAAGTTTGCCTTCCCTCTGGTAGACAGCTGGAGTGAAAGCAAACCTTCCTGACCCATCCAGGGATTCTTTAGCTGGAGATTGGGTTGAATGTTCATGAAGCCCTTGCTACTGAGCTGTTGAACTGAAGCCCTTGAACTGTAGCCCTCCTGGAGTCCCAACTGAGAGCTTTATATGTTTACTGTGACCACCATTCACCCCACCCCGAGAAGGTCCTGAACTCATTTTTGGCTCAATGGTACTATAAGACTATAGAGAATTCTGAATTTCTACTTAGCTTCATTTCTTGCCTTGAGAAACTTAAGAATGCATCAAATTCTATGAGGAAAAAACTGGATCACCTCTCTGCATTTCCCTTCTCTCTCAAATGTTAGACTATCAAGTTGGCCTCAAGTGATATCTGATGACTTTAGACAGTTTCTTTTTTTTTTTTATTAGTTGGAGGCTAATTACTTCACAATATTGTAGTGGTTTTTGTCATACATTGACATGAATCAGCCATGGATATACATGTATTCCCCATCCCGATCCCCCCTCCCACCTCCCTCTCCACCCGATCCCTCTGGGTCTTCCCAGTGCACCAGGCCCGAGCACTTGTCTCATGCATCCAACCTGGGCTGGTGATCTGTTTCACCCTAGATAATATACATGTTTCGATGCTGTTCTCTCGAAACATCCCACCCTCGCCTTCTCCCACAGAGTCCAAAAGTCTGTTCTGTACATCTGTGTCTCTTTTTCTGTTTTGCATATAAGGTTATCGTTACCATCTTTCTAAATTCCATATATATGTGTTAGTATACTGTAATGGTCTTTATCTTTCTGGCTTACTTCACTCTGTATAATGGGCTCCAGTTTCACCCATCTCATTAGAACTGATTCGAATGAATTCTTTTTAATGGCTGAGTAATATTCCATGAAAATATGGAATGCTTCACAAATTTGCCTGTCATCCTTGCGCAGGGGCTATGCTAATCTTCTCTGTATTGTTCCAATTTTAGTATATGTGCTGCCGAAGCGAGCACGACAGTTTCTTTTTTCGATGCAGATTTTTTTCAGTTACTTTTTGCAATAATGTTGGTCTGCCACAAGGCCACTCTAGCAGGTCCAGAAGCAAAAGTCAGTTCTTAAGATTGTGAGATTTGGCAAAACAGGTGTTTAAACATTCTTTTGAGTGAGGATATGTTATTCTAAGCTCACAAGGATTTTAGCCTTAAAGTGCACCTGTTTAACTTTCTTTTCCAGATGAGTACAAGGAGATGATGATGGTGATAATGATTATAGCTCTTTATAGATTTTCTGGAGGGAATAGGAGAAAAAAGTGTTGAGGGAGGCTTATTCTTGACAGACTTTCCCAGGAATCTTTGTATCATCTATGCTAATAATAAGTGCTTCTCATTGCATTTCTTGGTACAAGGTCTTAAATAGACAAACGAAAAGACAGACGTTCATAAATATGTACCAAAAACTAATGTGCATTCAGAATTCTGCTTGTTAATATCAGGCTACCATGAGACCAAGTGAGAGTGTTGTTGAGTAAGTGTAGAGTTTTTTTGTAGGGAGAGGAATCATCTTATCAGACAACTCATGAGACCATGGCCCATATCCCAGTAGCAGAGTCCCATTTCTAATGACTAGTATAGTCATTTCCCCAAATTCAGGGCCTTGCCTCCAAGACATACTGGGTGTATCCTGGCAGATTTTCTGCTTTGTTCCTAATTTTCTGTGCTCACATATGTATCATCATGGTACATTTTCCTCATATCATTGTCACATTCATACAGGTTTGAAGACATGGCTTCCTTACCAGTATCATGCATGTGTGTGAAATCACTTCAATTCATATCCGACTCTTTGCAACCCAATGGACTGCAGCCCACCAGGCTCCTCTGTCCATGGGATTCCCCAGGCAAGAATACTGGAGTGGGTTGCCATTTCCTCCTCCAGGGAGTCTTCCTGACCCAGTAGTCAAACTGGTGTCTCTTTTATCTGTTGCATTGGCAGGCAGGTTCTTTACCACTAGTGCCACCTGGGAAGCCCTTACCAGCAGCAGAAAGTCCTAACTTTATTAGTAGATATCAGTGTTTCACAGCCTAACTTTTTGTTTTCCATCTGAATGCTGAAATGAGTTTACAAAACATAAATGCTGGTTTTAGTAGTTACTCTGAAAGCTGAACTTTTTTCCTACCAGGTATTAACCTCTAGTTGCAATGGTTTCTTAAGGCCACATCTAGGTTATTTTAAAGATGACCATATCACTAAAATAGATAAGATGCATGTTTTTTTTTTCTTATCTGTTAGCATATTGCAGTCTGTATAGGTTTTTTGAGACTTTAAAATTCAGGTAACTTCTCTGTAATCACAAATAAAATAAATATTTTACTCAGGCCTGTGATTTCTGAATGCCATCTCCAAATTTTCCTGCTTCATACATAGTATATTTGATAACCTGGTCCTGCCATGTCTTCTATCTACCTCTTCTCCCCTTTTTCTATAATCACTTCAAGAAGTCTTCAAAATTGCAACTTCTTTGTTAGCATTGTAAACAAGGTCATGTTCTTATCCCAACTAGATGTTTTACTGTGATAAAACAGATATGTTTATTTTTGATGTCTTTCAGACTGGGTGATTACACCTATGAATAAGAAATCTATTCTCCAGGCAGATATTCCTGAAGGAGAATTGGGTCAGTGGATGATAAAGGACAGATTCACTAGAGATAGTTGCTGGAAATATGATAGCCTGTTGGAATGGCAGCATGGAGGCCAGGAGATAAACTTGCAGCAAGTGGTGCTTGCTCATGAGAAAACTTCGTCTGTGGTTGGTAACCAGAAATGTGGTGAATCTGGGAAACACGACATCATGAACTCATCTTTTGTTCAAAGTCAGGGATTTCAATCTAGCAAAAAAGCGTTTGAGTGTAGTGAGTGTGGAAAAGTCTTCACTAAGAGTTCAACCCTCAGTAAACATCAGAAGATTCATAGTGAAAAACTTAACACAAATCAGAAAATTGTTATTAAAGAGAAGCGATATGAATGTAGAGACTGTGGGAAGGCCTTTCACCAGAGCACACACCTCATCCATCACCAAAGAATTCACACTGGTGAGAAGCCATATGAATGTAAGGAATGTGGCAAGGCCTTCTCAGTGAGCTCCTCACTTACTTATCATCAGAAAATTCATACTGGAGAGAAACCTTTTGAATGCAACTTATGTGGAAAAGCTTTTATCCGAAACATACACCTTGCCCACCATCACAGAATACATACTGGAGAGAAACCTTTTAAGTGTAATATATGTGACAAAGCCTTTGTGTGCAGGGCACATCTTACCAAACACCAGAATATTCATAGTGGAGAGAAACCCTATAAATGTAATGAATGTGGGAAAGCCTTCAATCAGAGTACAAGTTTTCTTCAGCATCAGAGAATTCACACTGGAGAGAAGCCTTTTGAATGTAATGAATGTGGAAAGGCCTTCAGGGTGAACTCTTCCCTTACTGAACATCAAAGGATTCATACCGGAGAGAAACCTTATAAATGTAATGAATGTGGGAAAGCATTCAGGGATAATTCATCCTTTGCTCGACATCGGAAAATTCATACTGGGGAGAAACCTTACAGATGTGGCTTGTGTGAGAAAGCCTTCAGGGACCAATCAGCCCTAGCCCAACATCAGAGAATTCACACTGGGGAGAAGCCTTATACATGTAATATATGTGAGAAAGCCTTCAGTGACCATTCAGCCCTCACTCAGCATAAGAGAATTCATACGAGAGAAAAACCTTACAAATGTAAAATCTGTGGGAAAGCCTTTATCCGAAGTACACACCTGACTCAGCATCAGAGGATCCACACAGGAGAGAAACCCTATAAATGTAATAAATGTGGGAAAGCGTTTAACCAGACTGCAAACCTCATTCAGCATCAGAGACACCATATAGGAGAAAAGTGACATGGAAGAGCTTTGCGACTGAGTGTATTAATTATTGGATGCAGGAGAATCTGTTCTGCAGAATAACTGTGAAAGCTGACTTGAAGACAGTCATTTTATTACTGAGAGTCAAGGTTTACACTAGTATGGGCTTTGAGACCTTAAGAATGGTGAACACTCTTCATGCTTCAGGAGCTATCTTGGTTGGATAGCAGTGATGTTTAATTAGTCTGAATCACCAAGTACCAGAACCAGAATGGACCTTCATTAGGAAATTAGTCCACCATTAAGAGAAACTATAAAATTGTAAAAATTAAGGTTGAGAAGCAAAGGAACAAAAAAGAAAATGGTCCATATGCATTTTACTTTACTTGTAGGAGGCTTTCTACCTTTAATGGAACACTTTGTTTTCCTCACCCCGTACTGCTGACACCAGTGTAAAGAAAGTACAGTTATCTATGCATTGGCCTAGGAGTTAAATTATGCTTCCTGCCTTCTGCTTCAGACTACCTTTTGTCAGACTTCCCTGGTTTGTATATCCACTGGCTTCTTGTATTCTCCTCCTGGGATAATTCATTTGAACAGTGTGTCCCTTTTTCATTTAGCAACTCCTAATTGGTAGCATCACGTCTATTACTACCACATAATTTTCCCTTGAAGACTAGTGACTTGACCTCATACACAGTCCATGATTCTGGATATTGCACTAAACCCAGCTTTCAGAACACAGGACACCTGTCTGGAAGGCAGAGGTTGATCTAAATTCCTGAGTTACCCAGTTCCTCTGGGCTTCAGCTTGACTCTGACCCTTGGATAACCCCTAAATTAGGGACATCGTCTGTGCAGACATTTCCTTCCAATTGTTCTGCATTGTAGTACTCTACACATGGCAGTCAGGGGCATGCTCAACTTTGGGTGTGATGATCCCAAAACCTAGAGATGTCCTGGGCCACCTCTGCTCCTGTGACTTGCCATTTCATGATGTGCAACTGATGAGGTTAGAGCCTCAGGCGAGTTGTCAGAATGCTCTTAACCACTCTTCCCCTTGGCTGGGCAGTCCTCTGTATCCACTGCATTAGAGTATATCTGTCGCTCCCAGAATATTGAACTGGTGGATACTGGTCCTTGCCTTCCTGTGGTCCACTTTTCTGAAGGTATCAACTCTGTGTTCACAGAAGATGGAGAGAGCTTTGAATTTCTGATTTTGCATTTAAAAGTTGCCATTTCCTCTCTACCACCTGGGTATTCTACCATTTAAAGATTACCCCATTCTGACAGTACTGAGCAGCGTGTTGAGTAAGTCCATGGAGTGGTCAGCAGCACTGTGACATTCTCTGGCAGGGGCCGCTCCCAGAAGTCAGAGTGATACTCTAGTCCTGCAGGTACAGTTCCCTCACTATCTTTAATTCTTTAGTGCTGTCAGTAGAAATCACAGATAAAATAATATCCATGTGCCTTCAAACACAGCCCCTCATGGCACCTCCCCTTCCCCATCACAAAGAATGGGGAGCCCACACTACTGCAGGCTGGAGCATGCTAAGGCATGAAGGTGGAAGAGCAAGTCAGCTGTCTTCTGGGAAGCAGTGTGGCAGGTTCCTGGTCTGTGAAAATGCTCTCCATCAAGTTGGGTCACCTGCCAGCCCCCATGAAAGCTGTACCTCAGCTCCAAGTTACAGGAGAGGATATTCTTTGTGATGATGGAATCAGGACTTCAGGTTGAACATAGACTTGGAAGCTTCCAGTAGCTTTAAAGCCCCAAGTTCTCTAAATTCAGCTACCACCTAATAAAGGCCACCTACTTGGGTTGGTATCTCCTGTTAGGTGATCGACAGCTCATCCTTTCTCCCCAGATGAGCTGCAGGTGAAGGAGCATTTCAAGAGGTTGCCTGGAACCCACCATGCCCTGGGCCCAAACATGTTCATCTGTAGCTTCTCATGGCTGGCAACCCCAGATCCAACAATAAACTTGGAAAACTGCTCACTGCTGCAGAGATCTGCTTTCAGTACTATCCCTGTGTCCCACTGGTCCTGTTACCTCCTTACCTTGAATCCCTCACAAGAAACACATTTCTCAGCTGAGTTGTTCCTTTTGTTTTTAATAAGAGCTGTTGCCCCTTGGTGTGTGCTTGCTGCTGGGCTAGGGTTCCTGCTGCCACTCATCCCAGTGAGAGCTGAAGCAGCTGTCCTACAGCATCAGTGCAGTCTGATGACCCTCCATCCAATGACAGGCCATTTTCCCTGAGACCTCTCCTGTTGGGCTTGGGTCTTCATAAAATTAGACCTCTGAGATGACTAGTCACTTCCTTGTCTGGGAAGGCAAAAATACATGGCCTATTAGAAATGCCTGAGCCAACTTGGATGTATTTATGACTATTAGCAGTGACTTTATTCTGCCACACTATTAACACGTTATGTATGACCTTCTCAACTAAGGGAGCCAAAAGTTGCCTGGGTGCTATTTTGTACTTTTTAAATCTGAAGTAGTATGATTCTGCATGCCAGCAGTTTGACCTTTGGCTTAACCCCAAAAGTGCACTTTTGAGAACTCTGACTTCGAGGCCCTCAGCCACCTTCGCTTCTGCCAGCCAATCTGCATGGCGTTAGAAAAGAGTTGAGCAATTACTGACAGGGACTTTTCTTTACCCAAGCCTCCTAGGTGGAGCAGTTCATTCTGCAGCTCGCTTTTCTAGTTTTGCTGATAGACACTGCGACAGAAGATGAGGGTCACTGGGACCCTCCATCCTCAGCACATCCAGCCCACCCCTCACTACTCCCTGGTGCATAAACACTTCCCAGCACACCCACATCTATACCAACTCAAAATAACGAGTCTGAACATGTGGCAGAGGAAGTGCTGAGCCAGTGTACCCATCCCGTCCACCTGGACTCTAGGAAAAGGACACAGAAGCAGACCTAGGACCCATCTCCCACACCAGTGCCTTCCTAGGGCACTGTGGAATTTGCCCAGTGATTTTTGGAATTGCCCTTGGGAGTACCAGTTCTACTCTGGCTGGGGAAGGGTTTGAATAGAGAATTAGCTTGTAGACTTTTTGTTATATTCTTCAATGTCTCCAGGCTCCCATGAATAGCTACTGAAAGTGCCAGCTCCTGAGGGGAAAATAATTTTTCCAAGTTTCCCCACACAAATTCCTCTGATTCTTCTCTCATCAGGACTTCCTCATTGCCAGCTGATTCATTTTGCACTTGAGTTCTCCCTGGTAAGTTTGCCCAGCTTAGAGAGCAGCACCTCATCAAGATGTTGCCTTTCTCCATATTCAGTGACTGTTTTTAAAATGGCACCTTGACCTTGCAGCAGACTAGGGCTTCCAGCCTCAGAGTCTTGGAACAAATAGCCCTAAACTGCATGCCTGCCTTTGGTTGAGAAAATAACCATGTTTAGTTCCCTACACGTGAATGTAATCTAAGAGTCACAGCCTCTAGCTGTCTTAATTCTTTTCCCTTCCTTACCCTCTTTGTATTTTGCTCTACCCGCCCATGCTGGATTAGCCACCAGGACAATCTGGAAATAACCACTCCTACCTGCTTTATCCTGCAGTGGAAATGTGCCCACCTCAACTCCTGCTAAATATATTTTGGATCATATTTTTACTTTTGATATGTTTATATCAATTTCTGAAGGAAGAAAACTACAAGGCTCTACTAATTCCATCTCTCAAGGACATCTCCACTGTGCTCATGATGGTTCTCTGCCCGTGTCAGGGTTTGGTTGTATGGACATGTCCCTCCTCATTCTTTGTCTTATCCTATACACCACACATCACTATCCTCAGGGAAAAACAAATGTTTCTATAAGAATTACTAATCAATGTGTCTTTCTGGAAATAAGTGAGAAAAGTATGCAGTGTTTAAGATGTGCAAGCTGCCTGGTGATCTAATTAGATATCACTAAGAGTGGCTAGAAATCATGCTTCCAAGTGTGTTTACCTTTTTATGGCCAATGTGGTCCTAACTCCCCGCGCTGACTATCTAAACCTACCTGACCCCAGAAAGCATAGTGCTCAGGCCGTGGAATATCAAGAGCTGTGTCGTCAGTCGCTGGGGGTAACAGTTAACATTTGAGGGCATACCTGGTGCCAGGTACTGTTGTAAGCATTCTCACTAATCCTCACAGTTATGTGAGACCACTTCTACCATCCCCATCTGAAGGGTGAGGAGAGGACTAGTGACTTGTCAGAAGTCACACAGCTGATAAAGGGTGAATCAAGGAATTGACCCTCTAGAAGTGCTGAGTGCTGCACTTCCTTTATGGCACGTTCTAGGCCACCCTGGAGAGCCACTGGGCTTTAAATGTCAGGGTGAGGCTGATGTGGGTGTAGATGAGAGGCACTGTGGCGTGGCAGCATGGCCTTGGCACATTTCATGAGGGCAGCCTGTGATAATGATAGCAGGTCCTCCACCCAGGCCAAATGAGGGAGTTATTACTAGGAATGCCCATTCTAGAGGTGTCCCCAAAGGGGAATGCTGGTGGCCAGAAAACCAGAAAGGGGAAGATAGTCATTCATTTAATAATTTCTGCCAAGCATAGTGTACAGTGGTTATACATGCATAGTTACCACTTCTATGAACCTTAAATAGTGAAGATGGGTATTATAAAAGGAAATATAAATATTAATATTTAGCAAATAATTATAGTATGTGGGATGAGTAAATAAAGATAGTATGAAAAAGAGTCAGGGGCCCAGCTTTAGATTGCATGGTTGCAGCAGACCTCAGTGAGGAATTACTTTATGACAAGAGCCACAAAAGGAATGAAGTTTGAGTGTTCTAGATAGAGTAAAATGGGAAAGAAAGCTCAGAGGTAGGAACTATCATGGTCTGGTTGTGTGCGTGCTAAGTCGCTTCAGTAGTGTCCAACTATTTGCAACCCTATGAACTGTATCCCGCCAGGCTCCTCTGTCCATGGGATTCTTCAGGCAAGAATACTGGAGTGGGTTGCCACGCCCTTCTCCAGGGAATCTTCTGACCAAGGGATCAAACCTGAATCTCTTACATCATT